GCAGGTAGCCAATGCGCCTTAAAATTTACAGCTGCCACTTTTTAGGCAGCTGTTGTCAATGGAGCTGGTTCCGACAAAAAAAAGGAAATTCTGCTGGCTCTCAGATTGGACAGACTAACTCCTGGACTCCATATTGATTTGCTCAGCCCTGCACTGATGCCCAAGGGTTTCCACACACATTACAAACTGATTGTACAATATCTGCACTAGATTTACCAAGCTTTCATTATGTAATAGGAGCACAGACCTAAATCCATTTCATTTGTATACAGTTGCGCAGGCCCTTGCACAACATAGTTGGTAGATCTGAGAGATTTTACAAGGTATGGTCAGCTGTAGGGCTGCAACTAATGATTATTTTCATAATTGATTAGTTGGCCGACTACTTTTTCCATTAATCGGATAAAGAAATACCATCTTTTATTTAAAATTAAACACACAAATGGAGTGTTACAAAGTTTACTTCAGAATAAAACTCCATACATATTTTTTGCACTCGCACTAGAACGCATGGCAATGCAGTACCGCACGATCCAGTGCAGGTAAACATACTGCGGGCAGAAGGCGCTTTTGGGATGCCCTTGAAATTAATTATTATACAGGATTTATATAGCACTAACAGTTAACGCGGCGCTTTACAATATAAGGAAGACATTACAATCACAATACAATTCAAGACAAAATGGTAAGGAAGGCCCTGCCCGTGAGGGCTTACAATCTAAAAGGGAGGGACCAGTGAGGAGGTAGCTGTGTGGGGATGAACTGTTTGAGAAAGTGATAGTTCAGAGTTAGTTTGAGGTGGGATAGGCTTCTTTGAAGAAAGGAGTCTTAGGCTGGGTTCACACCTAGGCGTATCGAATATGCGCGTTTGTCGCACGTTTTTACCGCGATTCACACACAAACGAGGGCGTTTCCAAGGGCTACCTGGCTGTATCCCAATGGATACACGCGGCAAATACGCCCCAAAGAAGCTCCTGTACTTCTTTGGGCATAGGGCGTTTTGCAGCGCGTTCCTACGCGCTGTAAAACACCTAGGTGGGAACCATGCCCATAGGCAATCATTGGTTTTCTCATGTTGAGCGTTTTACAGAGCATAAGAACGCGCTGTAAAACGCCCAGGTGTGAATCAGGCCTTAAGGGAGATAGACAGGTTGGGGTAGAGAGCTCCATAGGATGGGAGAGACTCTAGTGAAGTCCTGGAGGCGAGCATGGGAGGAGTTGACGAGGGAGCTGGAAAGCAGGAGGTCTTTTAAAGTGCGGAGGGGACGGTTAGGGTGATACTTGAGACCAGGTTTGAGATATAGCCAGGGGCAGAGTTGTGGATGGCTTTGTAAGTGGTTAATATTTTGAATTTTATCCTTTGGGCTATTGGAAGCCAGTCTAGAGATTGGCAGAGGGGGGTTGCAGACACTGAGCAGTTGGTTAGGTGGATGAGTCTAGTAGCTGCATTCACGATAGACTGAAAGGGGGATAGCCTGTGTTGAGGTAGGCCAATGAGGAGGGAATTGCAATAGTCCAGACGAGATATAACAAGGGAGTGGATGAGTAATGTTGTTAAGGTTGAGTTTTAAGAAGTGTTGTGACATCCAGACTGATATGTCAGTTAGTAGATTAGTGACACAATGCACATCCCGGAGCAGAATTTTCAGGTCGAAAACCAAAGATGACGCTTGCCACCGTATATAGGATTATAAAAGCCCAGTCATCAGTTTAGAGTTAGCCATGAATATTGGCCCGAAGAATATTACGCTCTCACTCCAATACCCAACGTGTAGCGCACACCTACTTTTTCTACGTAGGTTTATCTTTATTTTGTACCTCATTGCCATCACATGGGAGGGCTCATAAGCCCCCTATGTGATTGCACATTGGAGGCGACAGGTTCTCTTTAAGGTGACATTAGGGGGTCTATTAGACCCCTAGTGCCACCTTTCCACTTCACTGGGGAATGACAGCTGTGTGCTGAGGCATCTGAATGTCAGCATAGGATGTAGTGGCTGTGAGCAAGAGCCAGACTGCTGTTGGTTATTTTAAAAATAGTCAGCCAGCAGAGGAGGGAACTGAAGGAGAAAGTTCTCCTTCAGGTCCTCCTCTGCTCACAGCCGCTGATGGGAGACTGGACGCCGGCTTTCTACCTCCGGCAGAAGATGGGGCCACGGGGGAGCAGCAGGGGCACGGGGGACCAGGGGAGGAACGGCAGGCACAGCGGCCTTTCCTTCCTGCTGGTGCCAGCTGCAGTGGTCTGTGTCCCCGCTGCCTCTGACGGTACAGGCGGGGATGGAAAGGGACACAGACTGCTGCAGCCGGCACCAGCCGGGAGGAGAATGTAGCAGCAGAGTGGCGGCGACTGCGGATTCAACTAATCGATTATGAGAATCGTTGACATCGATTCTCATCATGGATTATAATCGATTAGTTGTTGCAGACCAAGTCAGCTGTACTCCTACAGAGCCAGGCCAGCCCAGTGTACAATAACGCCAGGAGGAAAACGCGCATATGACGCGCTTATGAAAAACGCCCAGGTGTGAATGGACTGTTAGAGCTCACGCACTCTGCTGTGCGCATGAGCAGGAGATACATCATCTCAAGATGGCTGAAAATGCAAAACTCAGAAGATGACCAGGTGAAGATTTCAGCAGGAGCAGCAAGAGACACTGCAGCCGCTGCAGATCTGGATGGATACTTTGGCAGGCAAGTCGACCATAATGTGCCAATTTGCTGTGTATTCTTGCATGCTACAACAAAACCCCCCGAGGTACTGGCAGTGACGTGTAATTCCACTTTAAGGTAGCCCATTTATTCTGAATGTACTGCCACTGCATCACAACCACAAACAGATTCGACTCTTTTTTTTCCAACACAGCACACCACCACAACAACAAATGACATGTACGCTGTGGTTCTCTAAAATCTGGGAGTGTTACCGGCTACTGTATTAGTACATTTGGGTGCCATTTAAATTGAATGGCACCGCAAGGCACTGCGCATTATGGCAGCACACAGATATGAGAGGCCCAAATGAGGGGGTTCTAGGGCACAGATTTTTCTTTGCACTGAGGCCTAACACCTACAGATGAGGACAATACTAGAAAGGATATTCGCACACGGTGTCACAGTGTGAAAGTGCGCTGAGCACCTCCTGTCATGGCACTGAGGTCTGATTACTACAGAGACAAGGCAGTACTAGAAGAGTCTTCTGGCAGTGGGGGTGTCATATACCATGGCTGGATACTGAGCACCCCACCACCCCTTTGTCATGGCACTGAAGCCTAACCCCTATAGATGGGCACAGTGATAGGAGGCTATAACAACACGCTGTCACAAAACATGGCTGGGTACGGAGCACCCCCATTCATGGATGAAGCCTAATTAGTACAGTGCAGCATAGTACTAGAAGGATACTCTGCCGAGGAGTCACATGATGTGAAAGGTAATATGCCCCCCCCCAGCAGAAAGGAGGGCAATCAGGAAGGGCGTTACATATTATGGCAGAATAGTGAGCACCCCCGGTCACGGCTTAGGACTATCTGCCACACAGCAGTGCAATATTAGGAAGGTCTTCAGGGTAGGGATCAAATAATGTGAAAGGGAAGAGAGCACCCCATTTCACAGGTTAGAAGCCGATCTCCTACTCAGCAGTGTAGTGATAGGAGGATACTGTCATATATGGCAGGGTACTGAGCACCTCGTCATGGGGCCAAGGCCTAATTCATACACAGCAGCCTAGTACTATGAGAAGTCTCTGTCAGGGTAAAAAATTATGTAGGGGGGTACTGAGGCCTAACACCTACAGAGGGGCCCAGTACTAGGACGGTCCTCCGCCAGGATATGACAATGTAACAGGGAAAGGGGCATCCTATCATGGCACTTAGGCCTAACACCTACAGAGGGGCCCAGTACTAGGAAGGTCCTCCTCCAGGATATGACAATGTAGCAGGGAAAGGGGCACCCTGTCATGGTACTGAGGCCCAACACCTACAGAGGGGCCCAGTACTAGGAGGGTCCTCCTCCAGTATATGACAATGTAACAGGGAAAGGGGCATCCTATCATGGTACTTAGGCCTAACACCTACAGAGGGGCCCAGTACTAGGAAGGTCCTCCTCCAGGATATGACAATGTAGCAGGGAAAGGGGCACCCTGTCATGGTACTGATGCCCAACACCTACAGGAGGGGCCCAGCGATAGGAGACTACACAGACGGGAGTATCATGTAATGAGCACCCATGTGACAGGGCTGAGGCCGCTCTGCTACACAACAAAGTGGTAGGAAGGTTCTCTGACTGGGAGTGACCTTGTGGCAGGGAAAGGAGCACCCCTGTCATGGCTGAGGCCTAACACCTACAGAGGGGCCCAGTGATAGTATTGTCACTCTGACAGGTTGTCACATATTATGGCTGAATACTGAGCACCTCCTGTCATGGCTGAGGCCCATCTCTGTCAGGATGTCACAGTTAAGGATGGGCTTGGGCAAGTTCGCAGCTCCACATGCCGAGCCTGCCAGGAAGCTGACAGCACCAATCACAGGCACTGAGACATTTCCCGATCTCTGCAGCTGCGGACCAGGAAAATGTCTCAGTACCTGCGATTGGTGCTGCACGCTGTCAGCTTCCTGGCGGGCTCGGCACGTGGAGCTGCAAACACGCCCAAGCCCATCCTTAGTCACAGTCACATCACATGGAGAATACTGAGGCCCATCTCTGCCTGGCTGTCACATATCATGGAAGGTACTGAGGCCCATCTCTGCCTGGCTGTCACATAACATGGAAGGTACTGAGGCCCATCTCTGCCTGGCTGTCACATAACATGGAAGGTACTGAGGCCCATCTCTGCCTGGCTGTCACATAACATGGAAGGTACTGAGGCCCATCTCTGCCTGGCTGTCACATAACATGGAAGGTACTGAGGCCTATATGTGCCTGGCTGTCACATTACATGGAGGGTACTGAGGCCTATCTCGCACAGAGCAGCCCATAGTGTTGCAGGGTGTCCATCTCCTCACCTTGATGTGGAAGCGGACCAGGGCCAGGCGGATGCAGTGGGCCATACAGACCGGGGGCAGGAACCAGACTTTGGGGGGCGGGGTGCCCTTGTTCTGGATGTGGCTGATAATCTGCTGGCCGGTCTGGCGCTCGTTGCTCTGGCGCTTCACCCACTCATGGAGCCGGGCCTTGTCCAGCGCGCCGTTGAAGAAGACGAAGAGCTCGATGTTGCCGGCGTAGCAGGCCTTGGCCAGGGCGGCCAGGTAGCCCAGCATGTGGTTCCATTTG